TAGGATATTTAAAGTGAGTATCTTAGCAACACTCCAAGGTTTGGACACTTAAGTTTAGTGGGCTGGATCATTTAAGGGTGGCCTTTGTCTGGGTTTGATCATTGGCTCCATATGGTTAAGCTCTGAACCTATTTATTTAGGTAAATCCAATCCAGTCTAAACACAGGAAAGAAGAAAGGCTCTGGATTAAGAGACCTGTGTATTTTATTTGAAGCATGAAATTTGGATGCAGAGTGCTACTTTGATGTGAATTGGAGACCGTAACAGGGAGCAAATTGCTTTGAGTTTCCTAGGAAATAATCACCCTTATTTTCTAGGACTTCCATTCTCCTGCTGGGAAAGGATTAGACTTTCTGTTGATTCTGTCAGAAAATTAATTTAACGGCCTTTCAGGAATCTCTCCATCACCTGGGTAGAAGAATTGGAAGAATTTTGGTCAAATAGTTAATTATATTCTTTCCAATCTGTTTGAACTTGGTTTGTTCCTGTTCAACTACAATGCTGAGCTTTTCACAAAAAAATACATATTTCTTCAGTTGGCAATTTCATTTTTTGTAACTTTTCTAAATTCTAATATCCATGTGGTTTTGTTAAATCTGAGTACTGTCCCTTGATTTTCTTGTTAGTCTAATGTGTAAGTTCCTATTTAAACATAGTTATGTCTTATTTTGGGCTTTATCTGAAAATCACTTTTATACTTCCCACAGTGATTGATTTGATACCCATTCTTTATAAGTTATTGTTATTGATCAATAACAATTTCATAGATTTACCTGAAGAGTCAGTGAAGGGTAAGATGTATAACATAGGCATGAACATCTTCTGCATGGAGTTGCTGTACCCTCAGTCTTCTCTGTTTAGGACCTTGGGAAACTTTGAGTTAATCAGTAGTTTGGGTGTAAATCATAAGCTAAGGAACAGAGATCTCTTTATTCCACTAAGTGATGCAATAGTGTATAAGTACAACTAATAATAACTTAAGCTAGACATTCTACCCAGTGGCCCTGTGGCATTTAACCAGTTACTTTTCTAAACTTTTTCTTTCTCTTTAAAATGAGTACAAAAGCTGTGCCATGTTCACAGAGAAGAAATAGCTATTCCTCCTATTATGGATACAGCCATTGTTTTTCAAGTAGTTTCTTTCTACTTCTGACAGATTCTATTTTCTGTTAGTTCAGTAATTAATTTTCTTCATGTTGTTCAATATAACAAGGTAGGGGAAGATGTTATGTTTTGCATTTTTCTGGGAAAGCTTCTAGTTTTGTTGATATATAAACTAATCACTTAAATGTTAACATTTATGAGTTATAATTTCTGAAAGCAAGATATTTTGTGGTTTTCAGAATAATTATAATTGGATAAAAGAATAATCACATGGTCTTAAAATACTTTTCAAAGGGAAATGCATCTATGTTTAATTAGAAAATTGAGTTTTCAGATTACTCGAGGATCTTATAAAATGAATATTTTAGCTTCCCTTTCCATTGTTGAAACATTTCTTCTAAACTAACTGTTCTATATTTGTTAACCATAGATCATGTAGTTCCAAAAGGCAACAACTTTTAGTCACAACAGAGAAGATCTGTTTGACATAGACAGTGATTAAAGATAATGGGTTGGTGTGATGGCACATCTCAGAGGAAAAGACACACTCTGCCAAGCCTGAGGACTTGAATACCATTCCTACAGCTTGGAAGGTGAAAATTGACTTGTACACATTATTCTCTCACTTCCACCAATGTGCCATGGCAAACATGCAAACACACACACACACACACACACACACACACACACACACACACACACACAATGCCAAAAATTTTATAGAGTTAGAAATAGACATGAGCTGATAATTATTTATAGTTATGTACTGTAAGATTAAAGAACCATTTTTAAAGTGGGTGATTTTTAATTAATAGTGTCATTGTACTATTTCAAAGTATGGTCTTGATTTAATTGCACAGAAGTAAACCAGTGGGGTTGTAAATAACTGAATATCAGTTTTATTTGACTTTTCAGGTGTGTTTAAAAGTGTATTTTAATTTTTGGTTGTGAGCCTAGCATTTAACTGCTGTGCCATGAATCACTAGGTGTTTCTGTTTAGTCAAAAGGGAATATCCAAATCTTCATGATCTATATCATTGTTCTACTTCAACTCTAGCTGGGACCCACCAGTTACATATATAGCGGGAAAACACATTTCTCTTCAAGAACAGAGTGGTACCTCCTACATTCTGTCTTTTCTCTGTGATAACTATCTTTTTTCTGGATCTGAACTATTACATATTTTATTTTAACTGTCATTAATTGTATATTAATTGTATATTATAAATGATATGTAATAATAAAATATAAAAGGGTCATTTTAAAGTTAAAAGTTGCCTCAAATACATTGTAATTAGTTAATAGTCTTAATGTTTTCTAAATCATAGTGCTTTTATACATTATGCCAAACTCTTTTCTAAAATCTGTGACTTTATTTTCTGCCTCTTGTGTGAAAATCAAATTCCTTATCCAAGATGTCAAAGAAGCCAACTATAATCATAATTTTACAAAGCATTCAAGTTTTGTATCACATGGTTAAATATTGAAAACTGCATATAAAACATGTATTTCCTCACTGCTATTATCTACCATTGGAGCCTGTATTCAAACATACTGCCTTATTTTAATTTCTTTTCCATTCTATTTGGGGGTTGCTTACATATGTAGTTGTTTATTAAATATACATAGAAATCTAAACTATTAAATAACTCCAGTCTAGTGATCTTTTTGTAACTTTTAAAAATTAGAAATACATGCTGAGATTCTTCCCATATGAGCTCAAAGAGACAGAAAATATGTTAAAAGGGAAATTATTTTATAGGGGATATGTATCCACTATCAAAAGCAATATTAAATCTGTGAATATTAGGTATAAATGGAAAGAAATGGGCTTAATTCATGCTAATTCTTGTTTGAGAATAGCCACCATAGACACATATATTGGGATACTTGGTCCCTAGCTGGTAGAACAGCTTGGAAAGGATTAGGAGGTGTGGTTTTGTTGTAGCATAGAAGACATTTGCTACTGGGAGTGGGCTTTGATGTTTAAAAAGCCCACACCACTTGCTGTTCCCAGTTAGTTGTTTCTCTGTCTCGTGCTTGTAGATCAAACTACAAGCTCTCAGAAGCTGCCCCAGCCCCAGGCCTGCCTGCCTGTCACCATGCTCAGGACTCTAACCTTCTGAAACTATAAGCTCCAATAAACTCTTTGTTCTATAAGTTGCTTTGGTTATAGTTTCTAGTCATAGCGATAGAAAGGTAGCTAATAGCGACAGACTATTAATAAGGATAGTATTCCATAGACATTATGCATCTACTATCAAAACCAACATTAAATATGTGAATGTCAGATATAGATGCAAAGAAATTGGCTTACTCCTATATTCTAGGCTATTTTTCTTTTGAATAATGTCATTCCATTAGTATCTACTAAGATTGTGCTAACTCATGCAACTGATCTCTTCAATTTATGATCCAATTAATTGGTTGTTGTTTAAAATCCTACACTCCCTTAATGCCCAAAGGCTCCCAACGTCACTTCCATTTTCATATCCCCTTGCTTTTTGTTGGATTGCAGTCTCTGTTTCTTCAAGACAACATCCTTGGCAGAAACTATTATCAGGGTTTAACCTAATTTTGTTTCAGGATATCAACCAAATGTGGTTGGTGGAGAATACAAAATTAGGATAATAAAAGCAAAGCAGAAAAAGGGTACCCATAAAGTTTGATTTCATATAGGTCATAGAAATTAACTCCTAAAAATCCAAAGTGAACTGTGTTTAAATGCTTAGGTTCAATGAGAATGGACAGATAGGCAGAAATATGATTGAACAAAAAATATGACCTAAAGGTAATATATTAAAAGGAGCTTATCTGGGCCTCTTCATTCAGAATCTTTCTGGCTCTTCCATGTAGAAATCTTTCCTTTGGTTATGGGACAAGTCAACTGTTACATTGTGATAGTGTGACCTATTTTTAGGAGAAGTAGCTCGGAGATTTTTTGTACAGCTAGCTACCATGTACAAAGGCAACACAAAACCACAGTCAGAATAATGTCTCAAATGCCAGATGTGGAGAAGCAAGCATGTTCTGGGCCACAAAATAAGTAAACTGCTAGGATCTTGGTATTAGAAGATAAGAAGTAGCTATAGCTACCAAGTATGTCTAAATATTGTATCATTTGGCCTCAGGGCTCTAGAAATAATCTAACTCTGTCTCTCACTCCTTCATTTGCTTGTCTTGCTCCCTCCCATTTCCCTTCATCTCTTCTCCAGCCCTCTTCTTTCTGTTCCTGTCTTCCCACCCTCTCTGTTTTTCTCCCTCAGTCTTTTCATTCCCTTTGTATCGTAATAAGCATGATAGAATGTGAGTGATTAACAGGAAAGAAAACAAAAATATGTGAAGTCACCATTTAGAGTTTTGGAATGAAATTAAATAGATGCCTCCTATTGCTTTAGTAAATGAACATAACTAATGGCTAGACATGGTTAATGATTGTAAACTTTATCACATAAAAGTATGTTTCTAAATTTATATATAATGTATATGCATATTTAAATATTCAGATGTGGAAATGAATCACTCCAGCCAAACCCTTACAATGAATTCATATTTCAATTAAATTGAGTTGTAAACCACACAGTTGATTACCCCAAAGAGCTCATTTTAAATGTATATGATGCTTAATGGCTCCAATGGGAAGCATGCCCTTCACTAGTGATGAATGCTGCAACTTTTTTACTAAAAAAGGTTACCTAACATATTAAGGTTATATAAGAGGCTGTCAAAGCAGTTATGACTATGTAACTTTATAATTTGAATGCTCAGGCCAGTTTTCTAAAATTAGACTGAAAAAATGGAACAGGTGTAAATGAGTTTCTTTATTGATATAAGATGATCTTGAGATTTTACTTCTATGTTATATTCTTAATAACCTTATCTTTCTGCAATAACAGTTAATTTTAGAAGCTGCTGTTTTGTCATCAAATGCTACTGTTGCTGTAGATGACATCAGTATATCCCAGGAATGTGAAATTTCCTATAAGTCACTTCAAAGTACCAGCTTACAAAACAAAGGTAAGACTTATTTTCTTGTCGTTATTGTCATCTTAAACACTCAAGCAATGTGCTTTTATTTATTGAAGTATATTATAGTCACCAGTATTTAATGCAGGGTGTGGATATACTGGATATATTTTTAAGGTTAAGAAGTAATTTTATTTACAGGATGAATTTTGTTGTTTTAAAGCTATCTTTCCCTTCTTTATATTTTCCCATCTTATTCTCCTAGCATGCTTCTCAACGAGTCTCACCTGCTCCATCATATCTTCTTTCTCTGTGTGTGATGCACTGAGTATAGAGTTACATGCTTAAGTGTGGTCAAAAGTTTTTCTACAGAGCGAGAACAACTTATCTTTCATTAGACCCAAGAAAGTTATCAACCCTCCCACAACAAGCATTAATTGCCAGCAGTCCCTCTTCTAATGGTGGGGTATCATAGGCCCCACCCAAAACCATGATGAAATGTTGAGGGGGGGTCCAATCGTAAGCAAGTCTTCTGCAGATACAAATGGCTGTGCTGAGTTCCTGAGTGTAATGGCCTTGTTATGTACAGAAGACAATGTTTGTTAATACATCTCCCCATCTCGGCTTTTATATTCTTTGTGGACCTTCTTCTCTGAACCTTGAAATGGAGTGTTGTTATAGTCCGGGTAGAGCACTTCACTGTTGCTCATTCCAGGTACCTTGGCCAGTTATATGTTTCTTCATCAACCACAGACTGCTGAAGTTTTTCAGATAAAAGCTGGATCCAGAACTAATTGTAGATATAAAACAGTATGTAGAAGTATGTTTGACAATATAATTGTTTAGCAAAATGATGGTCGTAAGACCTTAGGAACTATGACATCTCAGCAGGGTTACAGAACCAGGAAAGAGTTCCTTTCCGTGTAATAGACCTTAAATCCAATCAGAAATATTATTCTAAATGTGATTAAAATACAATGAAAAAGAGAGCTTGAATATAGATGCTTCTTGCAAGGAAGTATAATGGTTCTCCCAATAGCTATGAGTCATTTAACAAAAATCCCAGTGACAGGTGTGGGCTCTCTCTCTATAGGAGTTGTTGGCCATGGAGGGTCCTATGGTGACTCAAATAATTCAGATTTTACCATTATTCTTGATAGCCCAATAGAACTTGATAGTAAAACCCTATTGTTAATGACTCTGCAGCACACATTGGTCATAGACGGTAGAACAATCAAACTAGAACTGAAGTGAAATATTTTTCCAAATTGGCTAAAATTCATGGTTTTAGAAAGTGTCATGCAGCCTACTGGGGGAGAAAATTCATGAGTAATATTACTCAGCTGTGAGCCTTTCATGGCAGAATTTGTGTATGTGGCTTCCTAGCTACTCTGGAAGCTGAGACAGGACAACTGCTGGAAATCATTGACTTCAGGACCAGCCTGGGCACACACACACACACACACACACACACACACACACACACACAATATAGAATACACAATTCTCTGTTGCTATCTGGACTAAAGAGATAATTTTGAAAGTGAATTATTTTTATTTAAAATTTGTGGGTTTTACTTTCAAAATTTGATAGATACATATACTGTGTAAAAATCAAATCTGGGTAGTTAGCATGTTTATCTCCTTAAATATTTAAATTTTAATTAACACTTAACTAATGCATATATTTATGGGTGAGTGTATGTTTTAATACATGGATACTGAACAAATCAGGATAATTAACACGTCTACCTCCTACTTATTGGAGCTTTTGAATTCTTGTAACAGGTTATGATCAACTATAATCACTCCACTGTTCTATAGAAAATATTATAACTTGCTACTTTTACCTGAGTATATCTTAGTTGTTATTATCTAAGCAGTCTCTCTTCCTTTAGTCAGCCTTTTCAGCCTATAGCAATCTGTGCCATATACTCTAATTGGCTTATATTAAATATCCACATATTGGTGAAAACATATAGTACTTGTTTGTCTGTCCTATTCACTCAGCTTAATCACAGCTATATCTATCCATTTGATACAAATAATGGGTAACCATTATTTTCTATAATCTATAATTTAACATTCTTTTTCTCCTTTGTTGAAAATGGATTTTTTTCTCACATAATGTATTTTGATTAGTTTTCTTTCCCTCTACTCCTATCAGTTCTTGTACACCTCTCTTCCTATCTGGATCCCTTCCTTTTATTTTTCTCATTAGAAAATAAACAGACTTCTAAGGGATAATAATAAGATAAAACAAGAACTAATAAGTCATAAATGGACAAAACACCAGGATGAAAAGAGCATAAGAGAAGGTGCAAGAATCAGTGACTCAGTTGCTCACACATTTAGGAATTTCATAAAAATGCTACCCTGTAAATTGTAATATACATGCACAGGAGCTGGCTGCAGACCTAGGCAGGTCCTGTGCATGCTGTCTCAGTCTCCATGAGTTCTTATGTACTTTTACTGTGTTGTTTCGAGAGCATTATTTTGTGATGTCTTCCATTCTTTCTGGCTTTTACACTCTTTCTGCCTCATCTTCTGTAGCATTCCCTGACCTTAAGGAAAGGAATTTGATGGAGACATCCCATTTAGGTCCGAGTCTTCCAGTGTCTCTCATTTACTGTGTAATATCTATGTGTGGATCTCTGCATTTGTTCCCATATGCTGCAGGAGAAGGCCCATCTAATGACAGCCAATCAAGGCACTGATCTATGGATATTGCAGAATGCCATTTTATTACTGAATTCTTTTAGCAGGACAATTAAATTTGGTTTCCCTAAGATCCCTGAGCTAGCTGGTCTCAGGTTCTTGGTCACCCAAGCAGTTTCAGGTATGGGTTCCATCTTGTCCAGTGGTTTTAAAGTCAAATTGGCTAGCTTCTCCCAAAGCTTTGTACCACCATTGCCCTAGCATATCTTGTAGCATTGACAGCATTTGCAGACCTAGGGCTTTGTGCATTGGTGTTTATGGTTATATTTTGGTAGCATAGAGAATACCTTCCAGTAACAAAGATGCTAGAATATAGTTGTGACGGTGCTATATGGGCATCAGCCTGAATTCTCCATATTCATTGAGTTGTGTAGATTAGTAATAGGGTCTTGTTAGCAATTATGAAGACCAACCAATAGCATTTACAGCAGCCTGTTTGTTTAGGAATTCCTCTGGGGTCTGTTTAGCCAATAACTCTATTATATGTAACCCAGTCCTTGTACTAGAAGCTTTAGTTTGGTGAGAAGAAATGCCTATTTGTATTCTATCTTCCCTTTTATTTGGTAATTTCATTTAGATTGCCTTTATGTATACATATATTTCAGGAAGCATCCTCTGTATTGGGTTTCCATACAACCCTGAAAATAGCTCTTAATTGTATCTGTTTTTACCCATCTTTATTTCCTGTACCACTTTTATCTTCCTCCCCACTTGATCCTCCCTTCCCAAGACTCCTCCATCCATCCATAACTATTCTATTTCTCTTTCCTAATGAGCTATATCTGCCCCACCCCAGTCTCTCACACTACAGTTAATGTCTGCGGTTCTGAAGAGTTTAGTTTGGTTATCATTGAGTTAACAGCTAATATCCACATATAAGTGAATACATACCACATTTCCTTTCTGGGTCTGAGATACCTTACTCAGGATGGTTTTTTCTAGTTCCACCTATTTACCTGTGAGTTTTTGTAGAATACCATTATTATTTATGGTTAAATGATGCTGAATTATGCATGAATACCAAATTTTCTTTACCCATCTATTCATGATGGGCACATACTTTAACTCCATATAGTAGGAATTGTGAATACTCTTTTTAAAGTATAAACACTATATTGTAGATGGCTTTAATACTTTCAAGTTATTTATTACTTTGTGTATATGAGTGTTTTGCTGACATGAATGTCTGTGCATTATGTGTGTGTAGTGCACTCAGAGTCCAGAAGACAGAAATAGGTCTTCTAGAACTAGAGTACAGAAAATTGTGAGCTGAAATGTGGGTGCTGGGGATCAAGCCTGAATCTTCTAGAAAAGCAGCCATTGCTCTTGACTGATGCTGATGATCCCTCTCTCTAGCCTACTCGAAACATCTTTCATACTACAGAGTATATAATTCTGTGTGGTAACATTATACATATGATAATGTAAATCCTATGTGCATAGTAAACCTTTCCAAGTACCATGTGTGCATGTGTTTCTCATAAATATGAGAGAATACAAAGAAGTAGCTGTGATGATGCAGTTAATAATTGATGAGTTTTTAAGAGTTAATTAGTATTACCTATTTCTGCTTAATCAATCATATTTTAAATTATGGCCGTATTACAAGAATTTGGATATATGAAAGTTTTAAAACTGACATTGAATGCAGTACAATTGAAGGTGTATGAAAAGGAAGGTTTGATACTTTTCTCTACCTTTATACATTACATTCCCTTATATATAAGGCAGGTTAACAAAATAAAAGCATAGAAAATTTATTGTAACATAGGAAACAAAGTTTAATGTGATGTAGGGGAGTTCATAAGTACCCATGAATAATTGTTCACTGTTGTATTTAGGTTCCAAAAAGAATGAGCAGCTATGTAGAGATGTGATTGAACAAAAGAACATACGATGTAATGGCAATAAATCAAGAGGGAAACTGATTTCATTTGGTTCACAGGTTTTCATTTGGTCTCTGTGTAGCATTCATTCTTTTTTGGTATGGGTTAGGCTCTGAATAGACTGAAAATCTCATAATCTGTTACCACCCAGGTATGTCACAGAAACTTTTGTGTTCAACTTTCACACAGGGAGGTGGAAAAGGCCATGATGACCTTGCTTCTGAGGCCCTTTTGTCTTTCTCAATGTTAGGTACTTTTGTTATTCTTATTTCAGCCTGAGAAGCAAGAGTGTTGAAAAAATTTAAATATAACTTAAGTTAACTCAGCAGGTCCGTGAGAAAAGTTGGTCACATGTATGAATAACTCTTCTTGTGACATAAGACAGAATTATTTTTATTTGTCAACTCCAAATTAGTTACTTCAACCATATATCTAGCTGGGCTGATT